TCTTTAAAACGTTGTATAATATGCGTTTCTACTGTTGCTTTCTTCGTTTCTATCCGCATACTGCATACGCCTCTTACCCCCCATTTGTGCCCAATGTTCCCAAATGGGAACATAATTTTTCACCAAGTTCGATTTTTTTTTAGGGTAAAACCAATGCCACAGCTGGAATCAGTGACGTCGAAAACCATCGGAACACCATTCGAAATATCAATTAGTGTGATGTAGATAGCGCAGGTGTAGTTACCTACCACCTACCTTGGTTGTTTTCTCTTTTTTGGCTGCGTAGCTGAAAGACACCGAGCGGAGGGGAAGGAGACTGGGGAAGGAATGTGGTGATGGTGGGGTGGTGGGTGGGTCTGTTAGGATCCTAGGTTTTTTCTCTCGCTGATGCCGGTGTGCAGGAACTCTTTCGGCGTCGGAAAACTATGGTGATGTTTTCCAGCGTTGCCTTTCTTTCATGGATTTTGTTTTTTGTTGGATTTGCTACTCACATATTTATTATACCTAATAATTCCATTGTCGTTGTAACATGCTTGGTGAGGGCAAAATATTGGCATTTATATATAAAAAACGACAATATATTCAAATACACAATTAAAAAACAGAGCTTTCGGTAACAAATACCTTGATCACTGTGTATGCTAAAATGAAGGAATATTTTCAAATATTTCAAAAGGCAAATTGACTTCATCGCACGGGATACAGTTCAGGGACTACCTATAACTAGACGAACAGCACCAGACGCTAAAGGAATGAACCCACTCCTAGTATTAAATGTTTCGCGTGAGATAATATGAGCGGCTTTTTTTATATATATCTGTCATGGATAACACACATATTGGCATTATTTCCTTTCCCATTAATATTAAAGTATTGCCTGATTATCTCGTCTAGTGCTGCCATCTGTCGAATGTTGTTCTCCCTAGCTGTTCATCAACCTAGGGGTCGCCGCAGTCTGCCCTTTCACTAATGTCCCGTGATTTTTGCCGGCGCTAATACGGTCCCAATATCGCCGTATTTATATGCTTGGTCATTAATGGGTTAAGCGTCTATCTGCAGTCGTTTTCAAGATAATCATCAAGTTCTGCAGGACTATTTTCGGTCCCGGCCGGCGCCCGAGACGCCGGTAGCCGGCTAACAACAATGCCGGCCGACCCTCGTCCCCTGCCCCGGCGGCCCGCCCGGCGCGGCCGTCGCGCGGGCCGGCGTGCTCGGCGCGCGAGGGTACATGGGAGCAGCGAACAGCTGACTGCTCCCGGCACTGGGACCCCTCACGGGTCTCGTCGTGTAGAGTGCCAAACACCTGACATCAACCATCGACGGGACGACCAAATTGCTCCTGCCTGTGCATACGACCTGGCATTTCTGATGGAGGTGCGTGACCGGCTTAACCCGCGCTCCGTAGGGCTACCGGCGGACCCTACCACCCGTAGGGGGGGGGGCGTTTCGGCCCCCCCCCCCCTAAGATCTCGGAAATTTACCGGCCGATTTTCAAAACTCAAACAGCGTTCGATAGCCCCACCCGGGAACTATCTTGTGACTAAATTTCATTGACCTAGATCAAACCGATGACGTCACAGGTCAGGTCAAAGGTCGGATTTTCACCGTTCACAGGCATTTCAAGAAATGTGTTGTGAAATAGAGTAAATTGGTAATTTATTGAAAACCATCGATGGTACATTGTTCGTCAAACACATACTTTGCTATTTGAGGTCACTGATACCAGGTCAGGTCACAGCGAGGTCAGGTCACCGGGGGTCACAATATGAAAGTGTCGTGTGATACATGTTTTATGGTCCATTTTACATGACAAATGCGATTATGTGGGTAGGCAGCCTTTGGGGCCAGTCTAGGTCACGTTTTGGTGAAGGTCAGGTCAAGGTCAGGTCAAATTAGGTCAAATTTCAAAGTTGATATTTTTGCATAAAATGGGTATCGATTCGATGCAGCTTGTCACGGGGAGTCTAATGGTGGTCTTTGTTTTGCTCTAGGATGTCTAGAACTGCCAAAAATTGAGTTTGAAATTTTGACGTCATCATTTTTGAACAGTTCTTTCGCTATAACTTAGCCAAAAAAACGAGGTATCGATCTGAAATTTGGTATGTAGATAGAAGACGATAGGTACTATCACATATATTCCGGTTTTTTCGAAACTCAAAAAACTTTTTGGATTTTTTTGGCAAATATATCCAAAAAAAGGTTTTTGATTTTTGGGGGTCAAAACTCAAAAAATTCAAAAATCCGAGATAGCAGTTTTGTAGCCCTGTCAATTCTACACCTTTTACATTTTGATCATTTTTCTGTATCTTCAAAGCTGTAGGCCTGACAGGTCTTCTCGTGAAGGTCTTTTTTCGGTCGAAAATGACAGAACATGACGTCATTCTGACGTCATTGGTGGCGGACCTATCATAGCCTCTGGAAAAAAAAAATTTGGTCACAATGTGTAAAATTGATGCCCGGAGGGGTCCTGAAAGTTTGGTGGCGATATCTCCAGCCGTTTAGGAGATATCGATGGAAAAGGACAGGGGGGGGGGGTCGTTTCGGCCCCCCCTACGGGGCGCGGGTTAACAACAACACGGCTCGGGAGGTCGCCGAGACTATCCGGCGCAGTCTTCCCGCCCATGTCATCCGCCGTCATAATCGGCCACGCCCCCTCAGCCCAGTGGACGGAGCACATGGCCGGCCCGCTAGACAGACTCAGCGCCAGTCTAGCCGGCCGACCGACCCGCCCAAATTACTCATCGGCTCCCTGAATATTCAAAGCCTGAAGCCCAAAATTCCGGAGCTGACGTTTGAGCTCAATCGTCACAACTACGACGTCATGCTTCTGGCTGAGACCAGGCTCCGCTCGACCACCCCGAACCGCCTCCTGGTCATTCCAGGATAAACGCTCTGTCGCGTGGACCGCCCAGATGGTAGCGGTTACGGCGGTGTCGCAATTATCACCAAGGCTAAAATCACGTCAACCGCACTCAAGATATATACCGGGCAGTGGGAGCTCTGCCAGCAGCCTGGAGTCACTGTGGGCGCTGCTAAAGCTTGAACAGGGCCGGCAGCTGATTATCTGCTCCCTGTGTCGGCCACCCCGACACAGTGAGGCTGCACATAGAAAAATGTCACGAGCCAATTCTATGACAAGGAGTGGGTTACACGGTCGTCCATTGTACCTTGCTGTTATATATAGGGACATTATCAGCCTGAGGGTTGTTAGTTAAAGAGTGGCCTCGTGAAACAATTGGTTACAAACGGTAACCTAATAACTTAAATGCTTCCCTAACACCCCTTCCTGCTTATCAACAGATTTCGCGCTGTGTCGGAAAACTACGCATAGTCTCATAATTAAATCCGCCAGAAGCTTGTTGCATGCTAGTTACATGCGTGTTTCATTATCGTGTCATATTATTATTATGTCGGCTAATGAGGCACCGCCCTGCACGTGCTTTAAATATAATCCTGCGCACACGCCACCTAGTCGGAAACTCATCATCGGACTAGTCCTGGTAGGGTTTTCGTGTTGCCGAATGAGGCGAAACGACTTTGATTCGGTAGTGCCTCATAAATCCCTGGTACGGTGAGCAGCGACGAGTCTGAGACTGCTTCTAAAACGCGTCCTTCACTTCCGGCGCGGGGCCGTCATTTCCGGCCGCCATTGTTCAGTTCTGCGGCTGCCGGCGGTTGGTGCGGTTGTGTTGTGGCACGGTGCGTTGTGAAGTTCTCGGGCTGGGATATTTCGAAAGTACGTTATATTGTGTGATATTTACGTAGCAATGGGGGACATTTTATTTATTTTGTAATATTCTGAACACATGTTGCGTCATAGAATTCACCCCTTGACCGTTGTGGGCCACTGTTTCGTTTGAATTCCGACTGTTGGAAGACGGACTTTCTTTCAGTTGCTGTCTAGCCTTTTTTCCAAATGTGTAAGCTACACATATTGCCTCACATTGATTTATCTTATACAAAAGTCAGTTGATGTAGATAATAAAGCCATCCTCACTGATATTTTAAAATCAGCAGTTAATTTTCTTTTCTGTTTGCAGAGTTGCTTAAAGTTGTGGGAGACTGAGGCATGAAGGTATACCGGAAGCCAGCGATATTTCTGTTGGTAAGCCTCACCAAGAAAAAAAACTTGCTTGAATCTGCAAAGTATGGCAAATATTTGATGGACTGCACAGTGCACAATGTACCTGACATGGCAGGATCAACTTGCTCACTCGCCTGTTGTAAGTGCCGTTGCGTCAAAGCCCGTGGAAGTGCCCGATCGTGTCTCATGCAACCGTATTATTTTGTGAATGTTATTGGTGGTGACTCGAATCAGCTTTTGCACCACTCCGCTATGATATTGTAATATGTATATATTTAGATATTTTGTATCGTATGCTAATAAGTAATAAACGTTATTTTTGTGTATATTTTTTTTTCTAACGTGGCTGGCACGCTGTCGTGGCTGTCGTTGGCCGGGTCGTCCACCAGTCGGAGGGGCGGCTGGGGAGAAGGAGGGGGGGGGGGGAGTGACGCAATTGAGCTAGTATTACTACTGGGCAGCAATAGCAGGCGCTAGCTGGTTGGGTTACCAGGCGAGTCCTGCTAAGGAGCCTAATCGGCGTACCGATCTGCTGGTTTTGCCCTCGTTTTCAAACGAGGTACCGAATAACGAAACGAGGGGCTGACACGGGGTGCTCGGTTTATGAGGCGTGGGCTTGTCATTTACTAACGAAACAAGCTTGGACCCTCTTACTAGCTAAATATGAGGCGATTTTTACGCGTCGCTGCATGCTCATTTTTGCGCCAGCGGTTTTCCTACAAGGGGCTTGTAAGATTTTTTTACAGTGTGCAGCTCTGCTTGCCGACTTCACGGACCTCGAAGCCCAACTGCAACAAGTTATTTCTACGCTTCGTTCGAGCTCGCAAAGGCGTTGTTGTGATTATGGGTCTATGTATTGTGCACTCCAACAATGCCTTTGGGTGAGGAAAAGCCCACAATACATAGCCGAAGACGAGGGTATGTACATTGCACCACGCATCAAGCATGTACGCGAAGCTGCACAATTACACGAATGATAAAATACAGTCGCGTCGGTGGCGGAGGGGAGGTGGATGGCGAAAAGCAGGAAGCGCCGCGCTCAGCCCACGGCTCAGTGGCTGACTGCTCTCGGCGGCGCTGCGAGCGCGAATGACCCGGGCTCGGGTCATGCGGACCTGACGAGCGGGCGGTATGACGCAATCACATGGGCGGCGCTCGCCCTCACCGCGGAGAAAAAACATTATCAGGTGACTTATAATTGAAGTGTATCTGTATTCGGCGACCACTGACACCATACCAATACACCACAGCCCGGCGGCCGCTGCGCTCCCGACCCGACTGACGACCCCAAGGTCAGGCCGCCGCCGCGACCCGGCGGTCGGCCGCCCCGCCCGGGTCAGCCTACCCGGCAGGCGTGGCGCTAGCGGAGGGCGGCGGGTAGCCGGATACCGCCGGATCCATGTCACACGCATTTGATTTACATCAAGTCACCACACTCCTCCCCCACAGGATTAGACTGCCCCGCCCGGAATCGCACTGGGCAACGCCTCTCCCGCGCTGAACGACGCGGCACCGGCGCAGAAGCGGTCGCAGCCTCGAACCGCGACGGCGGAGACGGCGACGACGTCGAGGGATGTCGTCCGACGTCCGCGCACTTCTCAGAGGGGAGGGCGCCGGTCTCTGACGCCTCCGCACCGCCCACAGTCGCGTCTCTGGATTCTCCGGCGACGGCGTGAGCGGCGCTGTCCAGAGCAGAGGAGTCCGGAGGCTCATCTGGCACCATCGTCCGCCGGTACTCGTGGTTCGGCACCGACACGTCTGGAAGGGGAACGGGTCTGAGTCTCACATGATCAAAATGTCTGCGGAAGGTCCTCCCATCCTCCAGCAAAATCCAACATGAACAGCCATCGACCTGTCGGACTGTTCCGGGCAGCCACCTCGGGCCGGACGTAGCGGGAGGAAGAACATACATGTACACTTTGTCTCCCACCTGGAATATGCGAGGCTGTGCTCTCACGTCATACTGAGCCTTCTGCTTCCTCTGGTACGCCTCCATCACGCTCCGTCTGGCGTCTTCACGCAGCAGGTCCAGCTGAGTCCGCATTGGCCGGCCGAGGAGCATCTCAGCGGGAGACTGCTGCGTCACGCTGTGGGGCATACTGCGGTAGCGGAACAAAAACCTCGACAGACGAGTACTCAGGCTACCTGTAGACTGACGTTGTAGGCCCTGCTTCAGCGTCTGCACAGCTCTCTCCACAAGACCGTTTGAATGAGGCGAGTACGGTGGAGAGGTGACATGTCTGACTCCATTTCGCTTACAAAACGTTTTAAACTCCGGACACACAAAGTATCTGGCATTGTCTGTGACCACAGTCTCCGGAACTCCGTGACATGCAAATGTTTCCCTCAACTTTTCAATGGTAACCTCAGCCGAGGATGTTCTGGTCATGTGCACATCCATCCACTTACTGTGAGCATCGATGATGACAAGAAGCATCACCCCGTTGACAGGTCCGCAATAGTCGACATGGAGCCGTTGCCAGGGAGAGCGGGGCCACTCCCATGGATGCAGAGGCGTTGGAGGCGCCGCATTCCTCCAGCGTTGGCAGCTACGGCATCCTGCAGCCATCCTCTCTACGTCCTGGTCAAAGCCCGGCCACCAGAAGTGCATCCTGCCAAAACTTTTCATGCGGGCCACACCAAAATGACCCTCATGCAGCTGACACAACATAGCGTGACGACCCTGTGGCGGTATGATTACTCTACTGCCCCACAAAACGCAACCATTTTCGATGCTCAACTCAGCTTGCCTGTTGATGTACGGCTTCAGGTCTGATGTGTTGTCCGCAGCATCTGCCGTCCAGCCGTTTCTGGTGAGCTCCAGGACGCGTGACAGCACTGGATCCGCCTGTGTCCAGATCTGGATCTGCTTCTGCGAGACAGGACCAGAATTAACAAACTCCATCAGCTGCACAGTTTCTGCAGGAGTCGGGACATCCTGTGGCTTGTCAGGCAGCGGTAGGCGGCTCAACGCATCGCAGTGTATCTGCTCCCTGGCTGGGGAATAAGTCATCCGATAGTTATATGCAGACAGAAGCATAGCCCAGCGCTGCACGCGAGGAGAGGCCATCACTGGAAGAGGCTTACCTTCTCCCAGAAGCCCCAACAATGGCTTGTGGTCAGTTTTGATCAAGAATTGCCTGCCACACAGATAATAATGAAACTTCTTGACGCCAGAGACAATAGCCAAACCCTCTTTGTCAGTTTGGGCATAGCGCTTCTCGGTGTCTGTCAGCGTTCTGGAGTAGAACGCCACTGGCCGCTCCTTTCCCTCCGGATCAATCTGGGACAGAACGCAGCCCAGGCCATAAGGGCTGGCGTCACATGCTAGAAGCGTTTCCCTGTTTGCATAGAAGTGAGCCAAACATGGTGGATCGATAATAAGATTTTTAGCTGCCTCAAAAGCTGCATTTTCTTTAGGGCCCCACATCCATTTTTCACCCTTTCGCAGCAGTCGGTACAGGGGTGACAAAACTGATGACACTCCCTTCATGAACTTACTGTAATAGTTCAACAGCCCCAGCCAGGCTCGTAGCTGAGACACGTCCGCTGGAGCTGGTGCCTCGAGTATGGCCCTCTGCTTCTCTGAAGTCGGATGCACTCCACTTCCGCTGATCCGGTACCCCAGGTAGGTAACGTCTGGTACCCTGAGGCTGCATTTCTTCTTGTTCAGGCGTAAACCAGCGCTGCTCATCCGAGAGAGCACCTCACGAAGCGCTCGGTCATGTTCAGCTACATCACGTCCGCCCACCAGGACGTCATCGAGGAATACAGTCACATGAGGAATACCCGCCAACAGTGACGTCATAATCCTCTGAAAAATCGCCGGGGCTGAGTGAATGCCGTAAGCTAGGCGGACGAAGCTATACAAGCCTTTTGATGTATTTATTGTGGCCAGTTTTTGAGACTCTGGCGACAGTTCAACTTGATTGTAGGCCTGTCGTAAATCCAGCTTGCTAAACACTGCACAACCAGACAGCTTAGGTAGCAGTTCATCTACCTTAGGCAATGGGTATTGCTCCAAAGCTGTTGCTCTGTTCACAGTGAGCCTGAAGTCTCCACACAGGCGGAGTTCCCCATTATGTTTGGGCACGACAACAATGGGAGCAGCCCACTCGCTGTGACTTACTGGTCTGATGATGCCAGCCTCTTCTAGCCGCTTGAGCTCGTCTTCGACTCTCTGCTGCCGAGCCAGGGGAACTGGGCGGGCCTTGAAGAACCGAGGCTTCACGGAACTGTCTTGGTGGAGGGAAACTGGACCACCGGTGTACCGTCCAAGTCCTTCCTGAAAAACAGCGGGAAACTCGTCCTCCACCTTCCGCACATGCGACATTGCAGACAGCGTGTACACGGAACACTTACCGAACAGCTTGTTCCAGTTCAGCCGTATCTTCTCAAGCCAGTTGCGGCCAAACAGGCTGGGGCCCTTTCCATGGACCACCATGAGCGGTAGTCGAACCGCAGGTGCACCATCAACAGCGACGTCAACCTCGGCGACACCTCGGATCTTGATCTCCTCGCCGGTGTAGGTACGGAACCGCTGCGGACAGTCCTGCAATGGAAGGTCACTGGCAGGCCACATACTTTCATAGAGCTCCTCACTGATCAGTGATGCACTAGCGCCTGTGTCGAGCTCCATCTGGACTGGTTTGCCACTCAACTCAGCTGTAATGACAATAGGGGGCCGTTTGCTTGCACTATTACAGCTGAACAAATCATAAACATCTTCGTCAACCTGACCAACTTGTTCAGCTGCCGGCTCAGCTGCCTCTACCTCAAAGTCTTCTTCTACAACGTGAACCGTTCCTGCTCTGTGAGCCGCTCGCGTGTGTCCAAGCCTAGAACACTCGAAACAGCGTCTTAGTTTGAACGGGCAGTTACGGTCAAGATGCTGCCCACTTAAGCATCTCCAGCACCGGTATTTGGCATCATTTCCGGACGCAACGGATGCGCTGGACTTACTTGGTTTGCGAGAATCGCCTGCACTCCTCTGACCAGTCACCTGACGAACTCCGGCTCCCCAGCGCCTGGTGCTCCTGTCTCGGTCGGCTCCCGCTTCTGCCGCCGCTCGAGGAGCTCTGTCGACTCGGTGCACGTCCGCTGTGGAGACCTGGATGCTGCCACCTTCTCTGTCCCTGAAACCACTTCTCAGTTCCTGAACATCATGGCCAGCAGCCTCCAAAGCCACAGCGATCTCGGTAGCTCGTTCCAGTGTGAGATTACTTTCAGACAATAGACGCGTCTGAATAGCGTCCGAGTTGACTCCGCAAATTAACCGATCTCGAATCATGGCGGACAAGAAAGAACCAAAATTACAATGTTCAGACAGCTTCCTCAGTTTTGCAATGTAATCTTGCACAGACTGACCCTCAGCCCGACAAAAAGTAAAAAATCTGAATCTGGCCACTGTTTCTGAAGGCCTTGGCTCAAAATGGCGTTGCAAGTGAGTCAACAGTTCCTTGAGCGGCATCTCACCTGGCTTCTGAGGGGCCACAAGGGATCTTAGCTTCCCGTAAGTTTCCCCGCCGACAACACTCAAGAAAATTGCTCTCTGCTTAGCAGGGTCACTTACTTCATTTGCGATGAAAAATTGATCCAGCCTCTCGCAGTACTCATCCCAGGACTCCGCTCGTCCCGCTTCATACGGTCCGATGCTGCCGAACGACGCCATCTCATCCTCGTCGCCAATGAAGTGTATCTGTATTCGGCGACCACTGACACCATACCAATACACCACAGCCCGGCGGCCGCTGCGCTCCCGACCCGACTGACGACCCCAAGGTCAGGCCGCCGCCGCGACCCGGCGGTCGGCCGCCCCGCCCGGGTCAGCCTACCCGGCAGGCGTGGCGCTAGCGGAGGGCGGCGGGTAGCCGGATACCGCCGGATCCATGTCACACGCATTTGATTTACATCAAGTCACCACAATAATGTTACATTTCTACGCTTCGTTCGAGCTCGCAAAGGCGTTGTTGTGATTATGGGTCTATGTATTGTGCACTCCAACAATGCCTTTGGGTGAGGAAAAGCCCATTACCCCCACGAACCCGAGAACGATGCGTAGGCAGGTAAGCTTAGCAAAATTAAGTGCAGATAAAAATTTGCATAAAAGTAAAACAAATGCATTCACCCGGCGCATGTCCGGCACACAACATACAATAGCCGCAAACGGTAACTGAGGAGCGCGTGAGACGCAGCTCGCTTCAACACCAGCACATGGTCCGCAACACACGCAGCGTGCTTGTAAATTAGCAAAACTACATCTGCTGCATACACGGAAGCCCCAGCGAGTTACATTACGTTGAGAGTAATGCGCTGCTATAGCACGGGGGAGATCAGCAGAACAGGGACTACAGAACATTCGTGTCGCGAATTTCGGCTGGCGTAACTGGCACCAAACTTGGACCAGCGCGCAGCTGCATGAGCGGTGTAGCGGCGTAACTGGCACCAATCTTGGACCAGCGCACGGCTGAGCATTACAACGAAAAATCGGCCGGCGTAACTGGCACCAATCTTGGACCAGCGCACGGCTGAGCAGTGTAGCGGCGAGACTGGCACCTTTCTTGGACCAGCGTACGGCTGAGCAGTGCAATGAAAAATCGGCCGGCGAAACTGGCACCAATCTTGGACCAGCGCACGGCTGAGCAGTGCAACGAAAAATCGGCCGGCGTAACTGGCACCAATATTGGACCAGCGCACGGCTGAGCAGTGTAGCGGCGAGACTGGCACCTTTCTTGGACCAGCGTACGGCTGAGCAGTGCAATGAAAAATCGGCCGGCGAAACTGGCACCAATCTTGGACCAGCGCACGGCTGAGCAGTGCAACGAAAAATCGGCCAGCGTAACTGGCACCAGCGCACAGCTGAGCAGTGCAACGAAAAATCGGCCGGCGTAACTGGCACCAATCTTGGACCAGCGCACGGCTGAACAGTGCAAAGAGAAAGTTCGGCTGGCGGAACTGGCAACCTTTCCTTTCGGACCAGTGCACAGCAAGAGAGCCAGGAGAATCACTTACATGAATCCTCTGGCCAAACTGGCACGACGACCAACGCTCAGTGGAGCATGGCGACTAACACGCACCGGAAAGAGAGCACGGGAAGAAGCACGGAATACTACAACTGCGTCGTGGCCAGGACTCTATGGTACTGCAAGTGCACCAGTATGTTCCTGTAGCCCGCAACGGACCATTTCGCCGCGACGGAGAGGGGCAAAAAAACAGCGTGAAAATGGCATGGAACGTTGAGCAATTTGAACGAAACATGGTGACTTGCCGGCGAGCGTTACATAGCTGTCCCAGCTCTAGCAAAAGCATTGCAGTACGCAAAACTCTGCTTGGCCAAAGGTTGTCAACATTTGTGACGCTGACTAGAAACAGGCTGTCAGAAGCCGACTCCCGAGGAAAGTTCTGCTCCTTTCAGACAGCGTGATAGGCTCGTGTCGTAGCAGGAGCCAGCGCCACTGCCCTGAACACTTCTATGGATTACGGGGACGTGGTAGCCCCAGTCCCATGGCCTGGGCAAAAAAGGACCAACATCATCGGCCATGCCCTGAGATCCAAACGTGCTGTCTTTCTGACCGCCATGCGATGGTACGGACGGAACGCGCCTTGGTGCAGATCATACGTTCGGCGTAGGAAAACACTCCCAAGGCCGATCCACCCACGCACGCAAGTTATGAAACGAATGTAAGATTTGAACGTCGCGATAGGGGAGATTTTTAAGCGTTAATAGCGAGCCTAATCCGTCCTACCCCGGTGATCACACTGGAGCTTCACTTTCTGCCCGCTGGACGCACTCATGCTGATGTATCTACAGTACTCATTAAGAACTTGGAATGTAAAACATTCTTTACGTGGGAATGTGAGGATACGGTAGGGCTCCTTTGCCTTGCTAGAGCAAAAAGGAACGTGGAGCTCGCTGCACATGCGCTGAAGCGAATTCAGAGACGTCATGAATGCCGTCTTTGAAAAAAAAATATCAGCACAGAAACCATCCGTCCGAGAGGATTGTCTATGAGTCAGCTATATTTGGGGGTCGCTATTTCTAAGTGTCTGTGTTCTAACTTATAAGGTGGGGATAAATTCATTAACAGATCGGCCTCCGGAAGGGAGAGGTAGCGGTTAAAGTGTTACATCCCCGGCGTTTTCGGGAATAAGTCTGCTCGGGAAAAACTTTCTTATCCATTGACTGCTTGAGGAAGCAGGACCGGCAATGCGACCCGCGCGTCTATCGCAATTGACATATGCATCCACTATAATGGGCGACGGATCACACGAATGAAAATAGATTTGGCCGCTTGCTACTGAGAGCAGCCCCCAAACATCCAATTATGAAGCAGTTTTCGAAGTCTTACACCAACATAGGGCGCAAGAAATAAGTTATAGCTACTAAGAAGCTCACGAAGAACGACATGTGGCACGCTGATGGCGGGCACTCTGCCAGCGGGTAGTCTGCTATTCCCGAGGAGCGAGTAGGGCGGCGTGAGGGGTGACCGGCCGCTGGCTGCGAATGGCGTTGCGGCGGGGGCAGCGGAGAGCGCCGTGGTTTCCGCGGCAGACACGCCAGGAGTGGCTGTAGTGGCAGCGACCGTGCGTGCATCCACCGGAAACACAGGAGTTGAGAACTCCGCACCCCGAACGCCCCAGCTCCTACCTTGCTGATACGCTGGTGAGTGGTGATGCCGCGGCCAGTGGAGTTGAGCCAGATTGGCGAAATAGCATCAGATTCGCCCCACTTTGTACACTGTACAGGTGTGGAGAGAGCTCACTAGCGCGTGTTAACCACTTGTCATATTCCCTCCAGGAGAGCCCCATGCCGGGAGCTGAGAGAAAGCTGACTTGACGCATGTGAGCGACATTCTCAGGATGGGCTCAAGTAACCACCCGTATATCGGACAAAAACTACTGACTGCGAATGTCTGGATGACGCGTATGGATGGCTTGGCTGCAGAAGACCACCCACAACGCTGAAGGTGCCGACACTACAGACTCCTCATAGCGAGGATCAGAGGTACAAAACCAGTTGTCAAGATTGACAAAACGGTGGCTCTCGATGTTGTATCTGATAGCTGATACACTAAAAGTGATGTCCGCGGACACACATTGTAATTGTTATTTTTTATATCTAATTTTAAAGGCATGTCGCTGAACCTGAGGTATTACCTGGGTGTTCGTCTCCTCCGGAACTGCGCCGGCTACTCGAGACCTAGAGATGGTCCCGACGACGTGTGCTGCGTAGATGGGACGGGGATGACAGCTGGTGCAGCGGCCGCGATGGCTGCCTGAACCATCCCGACGACTATCCCGTGCAGCTGCTTTTTGCTGATCGCGATGGTATCGGCAGGGGCTGCTGGTGTAGCGGACGAGTGTAGCTGGGCACTGAGCAGTCCTTAGAGATGCTACTGCGTCAGCCAGTGCAGGGACTGGAGAACGTCGGGGCATAGCGGCGACGGAGTTGCCTCTGGGCGCTGTGCAGCCCCTGAGGGCGCCCCTTGTGCTCTGCGGAGCGACGCTGGACGAGGCGTGCTTGTCAGGCCGGCTGCTGCGTGTTGACGCCGAGGCTTTGGGTGTGTCGATCAGGCGGACTCGTGGCAGGCATGAAAAAGACAGAAATCATGCTCACATCATATGTTCCACATCATGCGCACTGCAACACACCTCACGAAAGTAGCACACACTGCTCACCGTCATGTTCCTCTGCTAGCTCATTGCCTGTGCCCAATCTTAAATTCAACAAGGGTAGGTAAGAACGCTTCCAGAGCCCTTCGCCCTATATCTTCGAAGGGTGGACACCATCCCGCCCCAGAGAAACAGGCCCGGGGGTAAAAGCGCGAGGGTTCCGAAGATTGTCTCTGAACATGACGGGGTATACGCGAACTATATAACTGATTCAGCTCATATAGCAATTACAGCCATGCAGAGTTCCTCAACCTGCTGCAGAGGAGCTCAAGCTGCTGGAATACCCTGCGTGCGATATCGTTGCCGCCGATGAACAGGGCGACCTGTTGTGTCTGGCGCCGCAGGAGACAGTGGAAACGCTTATCACCGACACGTTCGCTTGTTCCGCTTTGCCTTGCAATTATGCCCTAAGCGGAGCGGTATAATGCGTTATGCAACAGCGTTGACTATGCAAGGTCATAAGCCAGTCGATACTAAGACGACCGGACTAGGTGCAAAGCCATAAGCAGACCATACCGGAGACGACCGGACTATACATATTTACAAGGCCATAAGCATCGGCGACATCGGAGACGACCGATTTAGGTGCAAGGCCATAGGTGCAAGGCCATAAGTTTCCGATGATTGACCAGTAATGCGCATTTGACACAGGGTTGGGTGATACCGGAGACGACCGGACTATGCAAGGCCATGAGCAGGCGATAATGGAGACGACCAGACTATGCAAGGCCATAAGCAGGCGATACCGGAGACGACCGGACTATGCAAGGCCATGAGCAGGCAATACCGGAGACGACCGGACTATGCAAGGCTATGAGCAGGCGATACCGGAGACGACCGGACTATGCAAGGCCATGAGCAGGCGATAATGGAGACGACCGGACTATGCAAGGCCATAAGCAGGCAATACCGGAGACGACCGGACTATGCAAAGGCCATGAGCAGGCGATACCGGAGACGACCGGACTATGCAAGGCCATGAGCAGGCGATACCGGAGACGACCGGACTATGCAAGGCCATGAGCAGGCGATACCGGACCGGAGACGACCGGCTCATAATCAAGCTCTGCATTGAGACGACAACATCATTGAGACAATTGTTATCAAACTTAAGATAAAAGCCAGTTTGACTCAGCAGGTTTAAGTCGGTATTACTGGGGTAAGACATAAGCGGAAAGCAGCTCCGTACGAGTATATCATTGCCTTCGTAACGTTGTCTTCGTATACGAAGACAACGATTGCATTGCTAGAGGCGTGACGCAAAAACCGTCAAGTGACACACCCGGATAATGCATGTAGTTTGAGAGATAACTCTGTCTGGGGGCTCAAACATAGCTCTGGTATTGCAGCCGGCATTCGGCAGTACCGGGAACGACGGGAGCATAAGCGAGCTATATATACTGAGCTGATGAGTTACTGAATTTGAGAGATGCTATGCTTTACTGGACATTTCATTACTTTAATAATTTGTTTGAGATATTTAAGATATCGAGTGCAAATTATCCTATGTGCTTCTAACGAGGTATTACGCATTGGGCTATGGAAACGGCCGGGAGATACCTACGTACTAATTTCTCCGACGGCTGCACCGGAGACGACCGGAGCCGAGACTGCACTAAGCCGACAACGCAGCTGTGAAATGTGTTACGGAAATTTGACCAGTAGTACGTATTTTATTGGTTTGCCATTAACAAGGCGGCAGCACCGGAGTCGACCGGAGCCTATGCTAGCTCGACCCTTTTATTTGTTTGCCATTAACAAGGCGGCAGCACCGGAGTCGACCGGAGCCTATGCTAGCTCGACCCTGAGACGACAACGCTTTGAACGCGCGCTCGACTCAAACGCAGCGCTAGCTGAATATGCTACTGAAATTTGACCAGTATTTTACTGGTTTGCCATTAACAAGGCGGCAGCACCGGACTCGGGTGCGACCGTAGCATAAACAAATTATTCATAGACGGCGACGCAGTGTGAAATGCGTGCTAATAAATTCCAGAAAACGCAGTTTTGCACGTGTTCATCTAAAACGCAGCACCGGAGACGACCAGAGCCGAGACTGGCTATGCACTGAGCCGACAACGCAGCTGTGATGCCTATAAACGACGGAAAAGTCGCAAATAGTGCAGCCTTTTCTTTACATAGTCTGCCGTTTAATACGAAGAACCGGCAATGCCGATAAAACGACCGGACAAACAAGCCAACTTGTGTTACCTAAAAATGTGGCATGTGGCGTGCCAACATGGCGTACTCTAAGTAATAGCCGGTAACACTTGGCATGGCCGGAGAAAAATCCAACACGTCCTGAGCCAGTGCAATTGAGAGGCCTTTATGCTACTGTCTCATGCCAGAACGCAGCATTTAATGCGTCAGGCTGCCCTGTGTGCCGGAGACAACCGGAACTTGACTACTAATGGAATAATATTGCCAAGTGACGCGTACTTCTGCTCATCTCGTTAGAGAAAAAAGCAAACCATAGACGCACGGGGCACGCGTTAAGCGAGCCCTGTACTGAGGCAGCAATGCATAATGAGTCGTGTTACCCAAGGCTACTTTGTGTTACCAGAGTTTTTTTTTCATTTTGCAAAACGCCCGGAGACGACCGAGGTTGAGGCAAGCGATGCACTGAGACGCCAATGCAGCGGTGGAAAAGCTCATATGTACTAATCCATCGCAAAATTTTCATGCCAGGCTGCTGTAATAGCTGTAGTGATGTAGCTGTAAGTTATTTGTCCATCACTCACTTATGTATCTGCGTCCGAATCTGGTCAATGCGAATCGCCCCATGCGGGAGAGAGGTCAGTAGGTCAATGCCCCGGGGGCCCAGTGGGCAGGTCGGCCGGACTAGTGTCCGGGCCGCGCCGGCCAGGCACCAGACGCCGATAATTGCCCCGAGGCATGAGCAGCTGATGCGGCTGGCGACCGTCCACGGCACAGACGGGGAAGGAAACCGGTAGGCGGGGACGGAATTAGACCGTCCCATGCAGCTCAAAACTCAGCGAGAAGTTAGTTTTGCTTGATTGGTGCTACCTATAGGTACTTAGGTAATTTACAAACGAGCCTCCTAAAATGCGAAAATCATGCTGCTAGACCGGAGGTTGACGAGGGCCGAGAATATTGCGCGCACAGCACAGACTGTCAAGCTCGCACGTAACGCGAAACATTAAGATGTCATCAGCGATGAGACCAGTCAGACTTGGAAAGTCCAAGCAAAGAATCTAGATGCAATATCTGCTGATCGGCAATGCGGCCGCAAAGGTATCGACATAGTCATCACTAATGCGATCTCCAAGACACCTCACCTCCAGTGCTGTCAAGCAGCAGCAGTGTCGAAAAAAACACGACACGTCACGAAAAGCAGGAAGCGCCGCGCTCAGCCCACGGCTCAGTGGCTGACTGCTCTCGGCGGCGCTGCGAGCGCGAATGACCCGGGCTCGGGTCATGCGGACCTGACGAGCGGGCGGTATGACGCAATCACATGGGCGGCGCTCGCCCTCACCGCGGAGAAAAAACATTATCAGGTGACTTATAATGTTACATAATCGATTACCCCAGTGCAGTGTTCCGCTTTTCATCTGCGGCGACCTCAACTGTGATTTATTGAAAGAGCCTAATTTCCGCGCGCGTCAACACCAATAAGCAGCTTCCTATCAAATTACTCATTAGATCAATTAGTGACAACTGCAACATTTACCTCCGGCTCGCTCCTGGATGTGTGTATTGTTAACAACCGTGAGCTCGTTTGCGACACCCATGTTAAATACATATTGTCACTTCAGTCCTCACAAATTTATCGATGTCGTTGTGAGATGTGCCGAAACTGCGTCAAAAGCCCACTGTTATCTCGTCTCGCTCCTTTAAGCGTTTAGATCACCCTGCACTGCATCATGACTTACTCGATGTTGACTGGGATTATGCATTCTCCGCCGAAACCGTCAGTGATAAGTGGGATGCTTTCTTGTCTTTCTTCGTACCTGTTTTCGATGCCCGTGCCCCAATTAAGCGTGTGTCTATCCGTAACCCGACTGCTCCTCCCGTCTCCGCCGCCACTCGAGATCTCATGTCCCAACGTCGCGCTGCGCTCCGCCATTTAGGCCGCAACTCGAGCGAGTACAAAAACCTTAACCGCTCTGTCCGGGCGGCTTTGCGTTGCGACCGGCGGGTGGAACTACAGAGGGATATCGGGGAACGGGGCCCCAACAAAGTTTGGCAATGTATCAGGTCGGTGGTTGCCGGTAAGAAGGATGGTTCTGATGTTCAGCCTGACCTATCTGCCAATGACTTAAATTCTTTCTTTGTATCCGTCGGTCCTCGTGGCGCTGCCGAGATCCGAGCCCAAAACGCACCTACCGATTTGAATGTACAGTGGATCTAGTTAGGATCTCCAGACGTAACTAGATGGCGTTGAGCCTTAGTGGAGTCCATGTCAAATTCAAGGGGAGGTCAGTACCGAGCTGGGCCCGGTGGGGAGGTGGGGAGGG